ACACAGTCCTCTTTTCTTTTCTTACTAGCACAAGATTCTTCAGGGCCATCTTCTACTTTTCCTATCACAGCCCTGGCTTCCACTATTTCTCCAAAAAGCCTGCTTCCTTTTATTAGTAGAAACCAAGATCTGGGGCTGGAGATGGGACTCCATGACTGAGAATATGCTTAGCATACACAAGGCCCTGGGTTCAATCCTAAGTGTGCACAAGCATACACACACCCACACATACACATTAAAAAAAAAAGAAGAAAGAAAAAGAAAAATGAAAGAAAAAAGAAATGAAACCAAGATCTTAGTGTTACATGGACTTACTGATGTTGCAGTCTTCCYACTCTTGGTGTCTTTCCAGTAAATTGAGCTAATAATACGTGTGGATATGGACATAAATCCAGCTATATATTCACACACCTTACATTTATATTTTTATATCTACTTTTACAAATTAAAAACCATAAWTTTTTTGGGTTCTTTATGTATGCTGGAAATTAATGCTTTATCTGAGATGCAGGTRGCAAATATTTCTGTAGGCTTCCTTTTCATGTTTTTGATTGTTTCCTTTTCTGTGAAGAAGTTTTTTAGTTTGATGCCAAACTAATGATTATTGATTTTRCTTCTTGTGCTTTAGAAGTCTTATTCAGGAAGTCATTTCCTGAGCTGATATGTTGGAATGTTGGGCTTACATTTTCTTTTAGTAGGTACAGGGTTTTTGGTCAAATACCTAGGTCYCTGATCTACTTTGAGTTTTGTGCAGGGTGAGAGATAGGGATTAAATTTCATTCTACTACATATGGATTTAAACTTAACCCCCCCCCCAAAAAAAAAAATAACCCGATCAATAAATGAGCAAAAGAATTGAAAAGACACTTTATGGAAGAAGAAATATGAATGGCCAACAAATGTTTGAAAAAAGGTTCAACATTTCTAGAAATTAAACCAATGCAAGTTAAAGTACACTTGAGATTTCATCATACACCAGTCAGAATGGCAATCATCAAGAGTACAAGCAACAATAAATGTTGGCAAGGATGTGGGGCAAAAGGTACACTGATATGTTGCTGGTGGGACTAAAAATTGGTACATCTACTCTGGAAAACAGTATGGAGATTCCTCAGAAAACTAGGAATGGACCCACAATTTAACTTAGTTATTCCACTCCTTAGTATATACCTAAAGGACTTAAAATCCGCATACTACAGCGACACAGCCACATCAATGTATATAGCAGTTCAATTCACAATAGCTAACCATAAAGAATCACTTCATGACATTTGCCAGTAAATGGATAGATCTTGAGACTATCATGCTAAGTGAAATATGCCAATCCCCAAAGCCAAAGATCAAATGTTCTCTCTGATATGTGTAGCTAACCCACAATAAGGTATGCAGGGATAGAAGTTCAGTAGATTAGACAATGGGGAATGGAGGGAAAGAAGAAGGGATAGGAAAAGGAAATACAGTGGAATGAATATGGCATAATTTTCCTATGTACATAAATGAAAACATCACAGTGAAGCCCACCATCAGGTACATCCACAAGAATGATGTCCTAACTAGAGTACGATGTATTCCATGCTTGTATAATTATATAAAAATGGTTTCTACTGTCATGAATAACTAAACCCAGTAAATTAAAATGAACACCATAAAATTACACTGATAACTTCCAATCCACAAACAATACCTCAGGGTTTAATTTAGTTTTCTTTCTTAACATACTTGCCCCAACAGGGTATCTTTGTCACTGTGCCCTTTTCTGACACCCTGCCTCAGGCTACTCCATATTCTAGAAACCTTCCACAACCYGGCCTGGTTCTGCCACTCCACACTGGGCTGGCTGCCTTCATGGATACTGAGTGTCCATCTTTGTTCTTCTTGTGCTCTGACATCCTGTACTGGCCTCTGCTTCCACCGTCTCATACAACCTATGTGATTCTGCCCTTTCCACTATTCAGTGACTCTGAAATTCCATGCCAGGCCACTCCTCCTCCTCTGGATGCTCTTCTCACTCAGGTTGGGTTCTAACAGCCCACTTAAGACTAGTGCTGACCCCGCACCTTCTGGCACCTGCTTGATTCCACCTAATGGCCTTTTGGATAGAATTGTCCAGGAAGAAAGAGGGACTAGAAAGAAATGGAAGGAAAGGAAATAAGGTAAAAAGGAGTGCCATTCAATTATTCTATAATTTGTTTAAGAGGAAGAAAGAGACCTGTTTTATCTACTAAATTGGGGCCWTATAGAATAGCATTTTACTATATATCTATGGATACAGATATAAATACATATATACAATAAGAAGACTGAGTAAATCAGGGGTAAGACCAAGTAGCTGCATTCTTCTTCGTCAAGCACACACTAGCACTGTATTCTGTATACCCCCTTGAAGTTAAGTTAAGTTATATGATTCATTTTAGCCAAAAAAGTGAGAAATGATAAAAATCATTTCTAGATGGAAAAATTTAGTTTCTTCTGTGTTTAAATCAATAGACTCTCCAAGCACGTTCTTCTTTTAGGAATTATGGAAATAGGATGTCATATGATAGTATAATGCTGAGACATCTTTTGAAGGACAAACTGCCCTGGAGAATTAATCCAGAATTGTGGCTAAATTCCCTTGAAGAAGAAATAAGTARACCTTCCTTCTTTTAAGTTCTAAACTTCTGGACTGTTACTGCAGCACAAATTAATCTATCCTTAATAATTATAAGATATAATCTAATTTTCAGTATAATGATGCTGTACTGACAGAGATAAATTTTAAAAAATGATAGTTTGTAGCATTTATTTTGCAAATCCAGATATACTTTGCAAAGGGACTTGTCCTATGGGTTATTTCACCACAAAATCGTATAATTTCTTATCTAAATATTTCATATATAATTTTTCTACTGTGATATTTTTCTTTAAAATTATCACAATAATTTGCTTTTCCAGAGAAAGTTAAGAAAATTTAAGACACATACAAAGCTTTAATACAAAGACTTAACTTTTGTAGAATTATGAAGTATTACCTAACAGGAAACATTTAAAAACTTTTTACAGATATGATTGTAAATCATCTGAAAAATAATGCAGAATTATAAAAGGTTCATTTTAAGTAAGAGAAAAATGTGATTCAGCGTTCAGCAAGTCATAGTTATTAAATAAATGTTTTAAAAGATAAATTCTTCATGAAATATTTCATGCAGTTTATATCAGTTTTTAGAAATGTTATTAACAAAGGACAGCACATTCTCCATTTACAATCTTCACTGCAGTTCCTATTAAGCATTATGTTTTGAATTCATGCCCTATGATTTATTGCATAGCCATCTATAATTTCCCAGCATGACTTGCTTATTATGATGCAGCTACTAGACTTAATTAAAAATTATCAAAGCCCCACCCTTTCAAATTAAGTGGATGATACATATCAAAGCACAATCATAAATTTCTGCCTTTAAAACATTTCATGACCTTTCAGTGTGAAGCTTGTCTATAGAAATAATGATCTGGTGAGTTTTTGCAAGCATAGCAAAATCCTTGCCATGTGATTCAGGGTGAAGAGTCACTCATTACTAGTCACACAGCAAGTGTCTGCAGAGTATAATGGATTTATAGGAAACAGGGTGACCACAGATCTAATTTTAATGAAGCTCAAGGCATAATCTGAGCTGACAGACTTTGAAGTCTGAATATAATCTATATGAGGTTAGAGTTAATATTTGACAACAAAAGGAATGTAGTTTTCTCTCCAAAAGTTTCTACTTTTAATAGGTGCATTCTTTTTTGTAGCAAACAGTTAAGTTTATATTTAAGTAATAGGTAAATACTTTTAGACCCTACAAAGAAATTCTAAATTTTCCCATAGACTGACTTTTATTTAATAAGAAATAAATAATAAGAAGAATTTTTCACTCATGTAAACACTCATATGCAAGCCCAACAGAGCTATGTTTGCATAGTTATTACATACACAGGTAGCAAGGTTGATTAAATATCAATACTGTTCAGGTGTCTCACTAAAGTACTCCATAAATGGAAAAATTTAAAAAGGTATAAATCCCACAGAATTCTTTCAAAATTATTCATTTTCAGGAATATATAGAAACACATACTTGCTACAAATAGAAATCATTATTTGTCAGTGCTGAATGTGGATAAAGAGAAGGGTCATTTAACTTGATAATATTTAAATAGCATCTCTGTATTCTTGAGAAAGAACATGTCTTACTGTCAGACAACTTGATCTACTTCTAGTTCCTTATTCCTGTGTCATTTTCCAGAATGACAGGATCAAGTATGACATTATATTACCCAGTAAACACTGAAGCCAAATTAACATTTGGATGTCATCTTGAGAGACAATTACCAAAACCCTTGTATTCCTCAGCAATAAAGCTTGCTAGTGAGATGTAAATCTGCAGCAAACATGCTTTATTCACCCAATAGGATGAAATGATTTAGAAGCAGCATACTTTGAAAATGAACCAAAAGTATACATGAGACCTTTTGATCTCAAGAGTCCATGTTCAGAAGCCTGAATGGTAGAAAGTACATGTAATTCTCAGCCAAGCAGTAGCCATGGTGGTGTTGATTTAAAATAACATTTCTTATTGCACACAGATGATTCTTTTATTAAAGAGTAGGATATGATTTCAAAGGGCAAAACTTACTACTAAAACAGAGAAAAATCCAAGAAACAACTGGAAATTGGAATCATTTTTACTTTTTCACAGGTTTAACACTTAGGAATAGAAAGAACCAGAATTATGAGGTGAGGGGAAAAAAGCAAAATAAATTCACTTGTACCAGTCTTTCCTCCTTTATTAAAGATCCATTTTCAATATTAATTTGAGGGGACAGAATCAAGCTGCCCACCACATTAACAGATGAGAAATATCCTTGGATCAGTGGATTTCTGWTAGTTAATTTTCATAGACTATCATCTTAGCCAGCTATAAAAAGTAAATGCATGTAAATTTCCAAAACTAAGCGCTGTCTGATGATGATAGACTTACCTTCTTCCCCTGCATAGGCCAGAATGGACCGGGCTCGTATCTGTTTCCCTTCTGTGGTTTTTCCTGAGCAGGTGTGTGAGCAGGAAGACCACGTAGACCAGGCGCTGAGCACACAGTCCATTGGGCATGGGGCATCACAGGCCACAGGAATGGGGAAGATGGCATCTCTGCAAAGCTGTCTGTCCACTTCTTCACCTGGGAAAGACATGATCCCCAACATTCTATCACTTATAAATCCACTATGATGGTTCAGTTCCGCCACTGGTACAGGTACAGGACAGTACAGCTTGTTTTTCTTTTTAGTCTCTCTGCAGACAATTTCTTAGCTAGAATCTAATCCTGATATCACAAACACTTGGATTCCTCCTCGCACACACCTTTGTGTATTAAATATACTATCTTTTCTGGCATACATTTGCCAACATAAATATTTCAAAGACTACTTTGCATTTATATAGCTTGTTTTTTTTTTTTTTTACCCAGGAAGCTCTAGACAGTTTAACTAAATCTGCAAAAAGATATATTTGCTATGAAATATATGATGCAGAATTAAACAAATAAACCATTGTCTACATTTATACAATTTACACTTTACTTTGAAGGCTTAACTGAGATATATCTGCTTGAAACTTGTTTGTGACACACGATGCAAGAAGTTGAGACATAAAAATGACAATGCTTGGGTTTATGTATTTGTATGAAATCAAATGTGATTTAAATGTTTAGGTTGGTATGACGTCCAACAATTTAATTTCTCTTCATAATTGTGACTTTAAGAACATGTTTTCATAATTCATCATTTTAATAAAATTAATTATTTTGACATCTTTAAAGCAACCCTCAAATTTCTTCAGGTTTGGTCTATTTTCATGAACATTACCAAACTCATGAATCCTTCCAAAATATCACTTTTTTTCTACTGCATTTCTTTATCAGAATAAGAGGCTCGAACATCTGCTTAAAGTAATTATGTTAAAAATTCATGAAGATTTCCATGGAAATAAAAAAAAATGAGAATTGAGATCTGAGGATAGACTTTTCTTTTTTTGTTAAAGTATATACGTGGAGCTTATTGAATTAACTGTGTGAAACCTTTGTATGAAATATTAAAGTTAAACCATGGTTTATAAAGGATTTTCTAGTTTCAAGATGAAGTTTKAAAAAGTAATACATTAATCACACAATTAACCATATTTTAACACATGGCACAGATGTGTTGTTTAGCACCATCCCCTAAATTCCTCTGGAGATATTTTGATTTATTTTTAATCATAGAAATGCATAGTTTTTATGGTGGATTTTAACCGTCACAGTAGTACTGTGTGCAAAGCATCTCTGCTACAAAATCGATACTCATCAATATAATGGAACTGAAACAGGTGTAAGCAGAAAGGAGACTCTATAGCAGAGAGAAACCAGACACAGAGCCAAGATAAAATGCATGCTATTCCTCAGTATTGTAATTTGAGAATTAGATTTCTCTTTCCAGACTCGACAATAACTCTATAGTAACTCTGAGAGTTATTGTGTCTTTTGTATGACCTAGAAATTRTCTTAAAAATGATATAGTATAATGAGAGTCCTTATTTACATGTTGACTGCTTTACTAAACAACAAAAGTTTAAAAAAGAAATTAAGATGGGGAAAGAATGGAGTCTTGTATTTGCATGGACCTTTCTTGGAAATATGTTCATATAACCATCTTATCTGAACTCYGTATGTAGGTCCAGAATCACTCTCAGCTTAGTAAAGTAGCAAACACATGAACTGAGGCTTAAAACTGTTTCTTCATTCCACTTTTTGAAGAGAAGCTAATTCTTCCTCTCGATGGGAAATTTCCCAGTCATTTTTGATTTGTGTATTCTCTCTGTAATATCTAGGCTATGAGTCTGATTTGTTTAATCTTGAATCCATGTTGTCTTTCAGACCACTGAACACTCTGTTGTTCCACATTTCTTCTGCAGCCCATCATTGATTCTGCCCTCAAGGGTGTGTTTTTAAAATGCAAATCTGAACATCMTAGTCTCTTCATAGGTATTAGTTGTGGGCCAAGTTCCTTACCAGGGCACTCTAAGCTTCTGCCCTTGCCTCATGTTTCTCCCACATTCTATCCTCAGAAAGCTATTTGCTTTTCCATGAACGAGCAGGCTGCCTTCTCATGCTACCATTTTGCATGTACTGTTTCCCATCTTCTTGCTAAGTCATCCTTTTGTTCTATGTTTTCTTTTTCTGTGAATCTTCTTTGACTTTCTTAAWTTTCCCAGCTGGAGTTGCACTTTACCCTCTTTTCTTACAATACTGCAGAATATCACTTTTGAAACTTTAAAATTTTCTCTGTTTAAAACACTGTTACCCACATTAGCATACACAACCCTCTGGCCAGGCATTTTGTCTTATTCAGTATCTTCATATATAATGTTTTTGGTCCACTTATTGTCACTTTGGAGTTTTACAGTAAATATTTATAGATAAGTGTGCTGGGGTAAATAGTCTGCCACATGCAGGTAGATAGGAGAAGACAACAAACATATACATTAAAGCAAGTCCATAAGTCACAGGACTTGGAACAACAGGAAACTTTATCAAAGCAGACAGACATCAGGAAATCAGAAACTGGCATGTCACACCTCCTTCAACCATAATTAATAATGMCCTCTTAAAGAAACTACTGTTTTAAAATCATGTCATGGCTACCTCTCCTAACCAGGTCATCATGGACCTTCTCAAAGAAAATTTGCTGAGGGCTATATTAAAAACAAACAAACAAACAAAGGGAAATAAACCACTTATCAATACAAAGGAGGATATGAGAAAATTCCTAAAGAATAAAGGGACTAAAACTTAAAAACCCAGACTCTTGAAGAGCTATGTTGTTCTCTCCAGAGATGGTTCACTCAGTATCTTTGTGGTATGTCCTTACTTTGACCTTCTCCAATAAACTCCTGGCTGTTACTCTGTGMAACTTGTTTGAAATCTTTCCTTCAGAATTGCAAGGACTGAGTGCTGTGGACTGCCGTGGTTGCCTCAGTGCCATGGAAAAAAGTTTTTCTCAGCAAGAGAAACAATAAGAGAGGTAAATAGGGAGCCTACATCCTGGGAACAAATTTTTACTCCTCACACTTCAGATAGAGCCCTAATATCCAGA